TATTTACGAACTGGCAACAACGAAAACAGTGGGTAGCCAACCATCGAATAACTGAGTGATCGATAGCGTGCTGGATGTCAGAGCAGTTGGTCGCGTTGAACAAGATCAAAAGCAGCAGTAACATCGGAAAGTATTTGACTCAATATTCCTCTGCCTTTCATGAAGTTGTCCGGAAACCAGGTCAGTCGATAAGCAATAGCATCACTGGTGTGCGCTATTCATTGATAGATGAATCGATAAGGGCAAAGCCGCCGAATACGGCATTAGTTCGTTTTTCCTCCTTGAATTAAGATTTGCCTCCTCGTTGTTCCTCCATGTTGCGTGCTGGTGACCAGATAGACGTCCGCCGTTTTTCGACTCCCACAAAGGAAGTTCATTGGCCTGAATAAATGGTGCATGCTCAAAAGCAGATTGTCTTGCGGTGACAACCTCCTTTTCTTAATTTTTCCTTCTACCGAGATCACCTCTGTCTGGAAGAAAATAGAGTAATTCCTTGCGTAATCTTACCGTTTAAATTTCGTTATGCGTCGAAGCCAACGTGCTCATCTTTCTTACTCTGTAGAACACAACTTTTTCCATGCATTAAACAACACTGGCGTTACAGAGCCAAGGTAGAGCGGATTTGTATGGAAAGTGTAACTTCGTTATCAGGCCAAGTATTGCCAGGTTTACTACAGCATCCGAGGCAAGAGCAATCCTCTTATTTAACTCCTGCAGGATATGCCATTGCTAAGAAGAATGGAGCCAAAGTATTCAAATTGGTAAACTTCCTGAAATGCTTCACCTCTTTGTTATACATGTAAATCAGTTGTGACTGTTTGGTTCCTCATAACTCTGGATTTCAGAATGCTAAGGAAGAAGCGGACTTTTGCAGGTGTCGTATATGAAGGCCGCCAGATTACCATCACCCTTCTCCCACGAACAACTCACCAAGTCAGTATTAATATTAATGTTGCTGACCGAAACGTGAACGATGAAAGATCGGTGAGAAGTATATCCCATGGCAGAGGAATCTAATTGAAAATCGATGAATAATCATTCTGTCGGTGAATAATCATTCATTCGTTCGCACAGTATACACTTTCTGATATGACGCGCAAACTACTGAGATCAGTGGACGATATGATTCCTAAGCAGTCTGCTGTTGTGCTGTGCTACAAAAAATTATGATCAAAACACTGCCCTGGTAAGTAGAATGAAAGAAATCTTTTTATTAATCAAGATTAATTAGTTTATGCAACTGGCGTTGCATTCAACACAGAAATAATTGCCCTCTATTCGGAAATGGGCGAATCTAACAACTTTATCCTAGCGCTTCCTTAGAATCACATGGCGTAGTCGCACCAGCCCCCTATCCCTCCCGTGCTTTCACTAGATTGAATGACGATTGAAGCAGGTCACCTCTCCACGGTATTTTGTACCTGCATGCATACGCGCAGCATCGTATCACTTTCTTGGGTCTAACAACTGTCTATTCGGTGTCCTATACTCCATGTAGGCGGTAGCAGATCGATAAAAGTTCGCGGTATTTTGGATTTAATAGCTAACTGCTAGTTTCCGACACTGTCGCCTAGACTAGCAATCTGCTGCGACTTCTACAGATTTGTATGGCGTAGTGGCGTCGTGCGTTTTGCTCCCATGCACTGGAAATGCTAAAATACGGCTGTAGCGTGGCTTGCTTGTTCATTCACTTTAAATAACTGAGTCAAGGAGTAAAACTGTGTTGTATGAATCCAAAAATGTTACAGGGTTTCCGATGATGTCGAAAACTAGCAATTTGTTAGTAAACTCATATTATCAGAATTAAAATCTCATTGCGATCTTTTTAATAAGGCTCTCTTTGTGTGTTGAAGGAATAGAATATTCTGCTAATGATCACTGTCATTGTTTACAACATGTTCATTTTACAAATATACTGTATCTTGAATCTTGCTTTGATTTCTGTTTAGCAGATGACAATTTTTGATCATTTTCGGCTGCTGCCTCACAATGTGGTTTAATTCGATCACGTTTATAAGTATGACTTGAGCACAATGCAGTTTGCCCGTTATACAAATAATGCAATGCAAGCGCATTAGCATATAACATAGCAATAAGTGCCATAAACTGTCTTGCCGTGAGCAGTATGGAAAATTTTTCAAAGTGTGTCACTCGGAAACCTTTCTACATTGTCAGAATAAAAGTCTGCAGTTTCCCAGATGGAAAACACAGGAGTAAATCTGAAGCATATTTCGACCAAAGAACACATATGCTGTATGCATGAATTCGTGTTTCAGCTGTACTTTTTAAGGGTGACTCTGACAAAGCTGCGTTTAACTATTTATTATAGAATAACTAACCTAGTGCATTATCTCAAAAGTAGACGGAAAGTATTTTTCTTGTCAGAAAAGGATGGCTCATACATTAGAAGCATTTCTTTTGTTTCCTTTGAGCTTGCAAAATTTTGAGACAGCAATACCGAAGACAAAAGTAAGAGTTTGAAGTACGGTTCTAAAAGCTATTGTGTGATTAAGCCTAAAACGTATGATATGTCTTCAATTTGATTCACTGCTGAGAATGAAGTTTATGTAACGAGGAACATGAGGCAAGACGAACTGCTGCATCAACACTGACAGTTTTTGGCATTTGTTTCCAGGTGACTTTTGCGTGAGTGGTAATACGTATCACGCAGGCTGTGTTGATTACTATTCTAGAACAATACGCAATACGTTTAGTAAATTCATGAGTTATCCTAACATTATACTTGAGGATAAGCTAAATTATCACATAAGTGAGAAGCTTCCGATTGACTTCAGAATTTGCAAAATAAAGGCAATCAGAAAAGGCATTAGAATACAGTAACAATTTAAGGTTTTTGCTAGTATCCATTAAAAAGGGATGTTGCCTGATGATTGTACGTTTTTCCTGGATCATCAGAGAGAACTTAGGCAAGGAAAACTAAAACGATCTGGATGTTCGATTGCATCATCTGTAGTGTAAATCAATTTTTAAGTGTTTCTGAAGAGACTCGGCGACAGTTTGCACAGTACTTCATTACTTAATTTGCTCTTATTATGACTTCCAACCTGTAACTTGTCGGATATGTTGTCCTGTTAAGAGCGACTTCTCGGTGTGTCTGGCTGACTGGTATATAAACCACCTTGCAGAAAAGATAATCAGTACACCTGTAGTTGGCATCTCGTTTTTTGTAATTCACTAAACCAATCTGTCCAAACTTTAATAGATCATCCAATATGGTTATACCCCCTAGTTTTGAAAAGTATTGGAAACAATGCCATTTACGTGAGAATAAGAAATATTTCCTGCTTCATTACCAATATTACTTTTTTTTTCAAAACTAGCAGCAATAAAATATAGCGTGAAGAATTATATTCGTTGGATCGTATCACGATGAATGCTGATAAAGTACGGAAGAACGTGCATCACCTAATTTGCCTAAGGTAACAGGTGCAAACTCCAAAATTCACTTTCCACCAAACGATCCTTCCCGTTTCTTGACATGTGTATCGGATATCTTCGTTTCAGGACATCTCGAAACTGAATTTTTTATACTGCGCCTACCCTTGAGATTATAGCGCGTAATGGGTGCCTTGATTTTCAATGATATGTCAGAGAACTCATATAATACGTACTGTAAGCTTGCTAGCTTGCTTAGACTTGTGCCCAAATATTTTCCCCACCAGTAATCACTCGTTTCATTTAAACCGTCACTGGACCAGAGATATATTAAATTTTTCGACGAGGAGGTGCAAGGCGCGAGCGAAGACCTTTAGATTGGTGGCACTGTCAGCTCTTTCGCAGAAAACGAGACATTCCTTGATAAGATTGTGGACCGTAACTGCAGCAGTAAATCGAAAAAAGGCAAATGATGATTAACTCATGCTGTTTGAAATTAAATTTCCCTAATATCTTTTTACATGGACTCCTTCCATTCAGGATCTGTTTGTTTCAAGTTATGACTCAGGGATATGGAATTCTGTCGCTAGTCACGCAAAAGGAATCAAAAGTTTAGTCTTGTGCCCAACATGTCTTTCTACTTGCTTTAGAAAATGGACACTGACAATGGATCCTCCTTTTAATGTTTTAATGTTTGTTGTGACTACGACGTTTGCATAATTGTCTGTCTGAAAGGAGAAAAACACTTGCGATGACGTGGTTTGTCTATTTCAAATTTGTTTGCTTACCGTTTTAACAGATGCAGCTCCGTCTGATCGTGGATGACTTTCAGAAGAAGAAGTTTTCTCTTTGCTCTTAGAGCGCGTATTTCTCACCTTCAATCCTCTTGGTTTACTCGAGGAGGAACAGATGTACCTGCAGAATCAGCTACTAATATTTAAAATGAATATTTGAGCAATGAACTAACCTTCCCTGATTTTCTAATTGATCTATACTGCGGACTTCCGTGTGACCACTCGGAGTAAATACCTTTCTTACTCCAAAATAAAGTGGCACTTTTCCACTAAGTTCATCAAGCAGCGCGCCCATGTTCCGATACTTCGCCTTCGACACAGGAACCCGTATTGCCTAAAGAGACACAATCTGAGATTTATGAACAATCTTTTTGCTTTCATATGAAATAAGAGAAACAGTCAGGATAAGCGCGTTTCCCAAATGTCTGAAACAGAGTGCTTTATGCAATTACGCACAGAACTTGAATATCAAAAGAGGACCATAGGCTCCCTCCAAAAAATATACAAGTAAAATATGCAAACACATGTCAGAACAGTGTGTTTAGAAATGTGTCTGTATTTATTTATCAAGACAGTTGGGGTAGGAGGCAGTAAACCTGACATGCTCTGTAGGCAAAGTATAAAGTTGGAGAACTACTCTGCAGCATGCAAATCCAAGACTTTAATGCTGTGAGGCTTTTAAGAGGTCAGCAGAAAGTCACTGTATCCTAACCCAGTTAGTAGCTTTTAAAAAACAACTTTTCTGCTATAAACATACGAAAGAGCCGCTCCAACCCTAGCCCATCATGTGTAAATAGATGCTAAAGCTGAAAGATGAACCGCGGGTCGCTGACCATTACCGAAATATTCATGAGGTTTAAGCAATGACTCGGTACTGATCAACGACATTCACACTTCTTCTTGCATGAAACTTCGTGTTTTGTCATCATTTCCTAATATATTGTTGTTGTCTTTGTCATCTGAGATAACTGGGCCAAGGACTGAGATCCCAAATTAATGAATTCTGGTAGAATTTTTCGTGTAAAACTCTTTGGACCTAAGCATTTACACCACTTCTCGCACAACCGTTACGTAACCGACAGGGAACCGAACAATGTGGTCGGTTATAGTCAATGCTGCTTGCACACTGCATTGTTTATTTACCCGTTGCAATATTTTCCACCATCGTTAATCGTCGGTGTCAGGTCTAGTTGGTCTTAGGACTATCGCATTCAGACGATGAAGGTTCCTGTCATGTTAATGTCTTGTCTTCGCCAACAGCAAAGTAACCTAGATTTGTTTTGTCAGAAATGGTTCTTCATATTGGTATAGGGGAATGTTCGTCGTTCCGAATATCAGGAAGCACACTCATTCGGTCAGTATTTACCCCTTTCGACCATAAATAATGGAAGCTGCATTTACCAGATTTTCAGTAACTTTGCATTTATTCTCGGTTCATTTTTAATCGCCACAGAGCGGTTTATTTTTCGCATTGCAGACGAAAGGAGGAAAACACTGTATGTGTTCCCTCAGCGCTGCACTTTTCTGTTGTGAAACACATTAAAGATGCTTTCTCGAGAGTAGGAATCCTTCAGCTATTGTCAAGCTGAGACTCCAATCGCTGGTAGAGACAAAAAGACCCAGTAAACGACCAACGTCTATTGGAAGGCGAAACATACTTCAGCACTGCATCATAACACAGTCCGGGGACGTTCTTTCAGAGTTTCAGAGGGTGATAATTAGTGAAGAGTATGATCTGAGCTGCTGTGATCGGTGCCGAAATAAATTCGAAGAGCATCTCTGCTGTCATAAATTAACTACTTGGACTGCCTTGAAAGTTATAAGTACAAGAGTTAATATACAAAGAGGCCGATTAGAGGCTATGGCAGCGCAAATTTGTAGTTTACCGTGCAATGCACTGCATCGTTAGCATGATGCCATCCTAGGTTAGAATGGAAGGCGTTGTTTCGCAATGGTGCTAAGTGAACAAGATTCATGTTCTAAGCATTAAGCTAGACAACAGTTCATGATAATTCGGTAGCAACTGCAGCTCCATAATCATTGCTGACGCACATTCTGAAACCTCCTTCTGTGTATTTTATGCAATCGTAGGATTTTGGCAGTAAGTCTCAAATCAGAGTGCAGATCAGTTTCTTACCTGGAAATATTGATCTCCGTCTTTATGGAAAAAGACGGTTTTAGCTGAATAGCGACTGTTGCTCATTATCGGTCGACTGTTGTTGATAGGGTTGTGACGACTGCTTCTCTATACCGTCATTTCGAAGACTGCAGGAGTAAGGCTTCATGCACATTCATCTGTAAAATCTTTCTTTCAGCCAGTCAGATAAACAGTAAAAGATAATGTTAAACATATCATATCATCATGTAGAATACAAATATGTCAAAAGGCTAGTGCAAGTCGAATGCATTTTTTCACAAACATATTCATGGCATGTTGCATACCTGGAAAAGTCATCCCGTCAAAAAACTGAGGTTAGTATTTTCACAAATTAATAGAAATTTTTGTGCAGAAACATTGAAAACTGGCGTGTGATTGATGTTCTTTCAGAAACTACGCTTCCAACACATTCCATCATAGGTTAGCGCCGCGGACAATCGCAGACTTGCAAATCCTAGACCAGTCGGCCAATAGCAAAATAGCCATCAGGAAGGAACATTATGCTGGGCATTTATTACAATATGTTTTAACAGATATAAACATATACGAGATGTTTATGAAGTATTCAGGCCAACAATAATTAATTGCTATCAGAGAAAAAACTTATCTACTTTGTAGCAGTCACGATACGGTTAGTCTTCCAGTTTTAATAGCCGCCAATCCCTTCGGGTCATAGAGGCAGACGCTGTCGATTGTGTGCTGAACGTTCTCGATGCTGTGTAAGCGTTTTAGCTTTGACAGGCGATGG